TCACATGTGATCGAACGGCAAGAACCATGACCATTAGCCAATGCCAGTACGTGACTGAAATTCTCACATGATTCAGACTAGAGACATGTCATATCCCAGATCTTCCACCTCCCTCCGCCCTAGTCCTAGAGGACTCCTATGACCTCCACCAGCCCTCCCAATCTCTCTCTGCTGCCTCCGGTCGATGCCAACAATCCTAGGACTACCTCCTCATTTGACTCTCTCCCACTCTTCCTCCTATCTACGTCCACATCACCTCCGGACCTCCCCTACCACACCTCCACCTCCTTGGATCTCCTGTTCAAAGGATATGGATCTACTTGTTGTTGGTAACCCTCAACTTGCCTATCCACCCTCCTTCTTACTCCTGGTCTCTGCACCTCTGGTTGTGTATCTCTGGTACCTCCCCACTCCTACCCTACCTCCAGTCATGTTATTCTTTATTGTTTTATCATTTGACATTTTCTACAACCCCAATCTTCTGGACTACAACTTCTGGGCTCCGGACCTTTCTGGACATCTTCCCCTGTAGTCCCCTGCTCATTCATAGATGGGCCCAGGCCTTACCATTCAGTTGGTTTCTAATCCTCCCACTCCACAAAGCTTCAGACATAATTCGGGCTTTTCACCTATTCTATATTTGTCCTGTGGAGTCTTTCTATTTACTTCTCTCTTCCCCTTGGCAACCTTTGTTTACCTTTGGATCCAATTATCTCTGCTATATGTATGCATGTACCACTCTAGTAAATAGTTCCCCCAGTTATAATATTAAGTCCTAAGTCCTTGAATCCAAACCCGCTTCCACGATGTCTATTGTGCTCTACTCGCCTGCTGCTCCATCTTGAACCAAGAGCTGAGTGACAGATGCACCTAAAGGTGCCTTGGTATAAAAACCCAATGAATCGCATGACAAATGATTGACCCTCACTAACACCTCCATCGTTAAGTAGTGAGAGGGGGCTTCTGGCCCCCTTCTGCTGGCGGCCTCTGTTCCTCCATTGCCAGTCCCCCTGACAAATTGGGGACAACGAGGACGTAACGGGCACAGCGCTCCATTCCGAGTCACTGAAGCCGAGTCCCTTCAACACCCCGTCACCCTTGGAGCTCCACCCCACCTCCAGTCTGTCTCTGACCCACTGTCAGATGACCCAGAACATCAAGCTCCATCAGACACACCCACCTGGGTAGCATTTCGGATCTTCCCCAGGTGGGTTCATGACAAGACGGCTTGATTGATGAGCACTCCAATGTCTGCTAACTTGAACTGAAGTTGACACTCACCTCTACCAATCTATGCTCGGCTCACTCATGTATGCCTCCATCAGCACTTGTCCTGTCCTTCGCTGTGGGTCTACTCGCTCAGCATGTGATTGCTCCTGGAAAAGAACACCTCATGGCAATCAAATGAGTTTTTTGTTATCTCAATGGAACTCATGACTTTGCTCTGGTCTTTGATGGGAAGAAGGTAAAGGAAGGACTAACTGGCTTCTCTGACACTGACCGGGCTGGCAACTCAAGCACCCAACACTCCATGTCCAGGTATTGTTTCATCTATGGTGGGGCTGTGGTTGCCTGGTCATCCAAGAAGCAACCCACGATTGCATTGTCAAGTACTGAGGTGGAGTATACAGCAACAACCCATGCCGGTAAGGAGGCAGTCCACTTGGATCATCTTTACGACTCCTCTGGAATTCCCATTGATTCACCCATTATCATTTCTGTCGACAACCAATCCACCATTGCCCTCGCCGAGAATCCCATATTCCATGCCCAAATGAAGCACATCGACGTTCGCCACCACTGGATTCGAGAGAAGATCGAAAGCGGAACTTTGGAACTCCAATATGTCCCAACTGCTGATCAAGTGTCTGACATTTTCACGAAAGCTCTCCCCATCGTCAAGTTCGAGAAGTTCCAAGGAGAGCTGTGTCATATCCGTGCATACCCGATCCCGCCCCAACTTCCAGACCTCCTCCTTCCCCACCTCCGGAATCCTACCCTACCGCTGTCCATTCCGATATTCACCTCCGGTCCTGGCACCACACCACCCTTCACCTCCCATGCCACCTCCACTCCTCCGTCACTCTCCTGTCCTATCTCCGTCCATTCCAATAACCACCTCGGACCGAACACCACCCCTCTCGCCACCCTCCTCCTACTCCTCCTCATACTCCTCCACTTCCTCCTCACAACACCTCCACCCTTCCGTCATCCTCCTACTCTTCTCCCGTCCGCTCCGATACCCACCTTCGGACCTGACACCTCTCCTCTCTTCCTTCCCCTCTCTTCCTTCCCCTCTTCCTTCCCCTCTCTTCCTTCCCCTCTCTTCCTTCCCCCCCCCCCCCCCCCCCCCCCCCCCCCCCCCCCCCCCCCCCCCCCCCCCCCCCCCCCCCCCCCCCCCCCCCCCCCCCCCCCCCCCCCCCCCCCCCCCCCCCCCCCCCCCCCCCCCCCCCCCCCCCCCCCCCCTCCCCTCTCTTCCTTCCCCTCTCTTCCTTCCCCTCTCTTCCCTCTGGTCCTCTTCCCTCTAGTCCTCTTCCACCGACCTCCCGCCAAGTTACGACCTCCCGCTGCTGACCCGTACTTTGTACTCAGGCACCGCTCGTACCTTTGCTCCAAGCCTCCGTCATAGTTCCTACCTCGGACTTTGACTCCACCTCGGTCTTTGTTATGGAAATGGGAATTTCCCATTCTAGACTCTTATGGGTTCTGTATCACATGATTTGTATTTTAACCAATCAATAAACAACCAAAAACCCGCTGTGCTAACATCTGTTACAACTAATGTTAAACTGCCTGTGATAACATCTGTAAACCCTAATGAACCACCTCCCTTCCCCTTTCCCTTTCCCTGCGCCTTGAATGGACGAAAATGGGCGCCTCCGGCCCCATTTTTGTAACAGTCTTAGTCCATTGCATTGGTGACCTCATACTACGTAAACACCATTGCCAATATTCCTCGGACTTTCAACCCCGCCTCCGTAAGCTCAGCAACCTCCGAGCTTCGCAGATCATCTTCAGCACTTTTGCCGCTTGTAATGTATTTCTCACATCTTCCCCTCATCCCTATTTGGACTGCTGCTTCTTCCCATTCTAGCCAGTTAGTCATCATCCCCACTTCCCCTCATCCTCCTGCCCCTCTGGGCCTCGCCCTCCTTACCTCCTTTCGGACCTATCACAGGTTCTGCCTTATGACCTTTGGTACCACTCCACCTCTGTCATCCCTTTGTTCCTGTTCGGACGCCTTCATTCCAATTCGGTTCCCCTTCGTTTCCTTGTGCTTTTGCCCCCTCCATTATATATATCCGTGCTTGTACATACTCGTAGGAGGCTCAGTCCGAAATCAACCTGAAATGCCCCCTAGAGACTTCCTGCTCGCCTACTGTGAAATTAAGGACCTGTCAGAGACCAGGTCGAGACGAAGGAGTGTCTCCATGGCAGAGGGCTTCGGCCTCAGCGACTTGTGCCAGGAGCGCTGTGCCAAGTAACATGTCTGTGCCCTAACTTACTAAACTGGCAACCAGAACTGAAGAGGGTAAACTCTAGTCGATTTTATTACTGGAGTGTAACCTATGTACAAGTTAAGTATATATAGTTACAGCGAGGGCAGGTCCGCAAATGGCGGAGCGGAGCTAACGGGGTTAGACCTTAGCCGATTGAATATTACCGACGAGTCAGGTTACGGGGTTAACGGAAAGGCAGGTGATAACCCAGAAATGGAAAGGAGGGATAGGCCCGAAGGTGGGCTTTGCAGGGCAAGCAAGTGTATTGTCCAGCGGAGGTGGGAGTGCGCTAGCGGACGTCAGAGCTGTCTGGAAGCCTTCAGGGCTCTGTACTTAGGGAGGTGTAGGTAATAAATTGAAAGGAGGGGGTGGTGACCATCGAGGGGTACCGAGGGGATTGCGGAATATGGGAGCTCCGAGGTTAGTGAAGAAGGAGCGGAAGTAGACTGGAGGGATCAGAGGGGTCGGAAGTCGATGGCCAGGGATGGATATGACAGGACCAAATGGACAAACAGCAATGGCACAGCGCTCCGCTTGAGTCGCTGAGGCCAAGGTCCCTCCACGCTAAGTCTCCGATTCCACTCCAGAGTTGTCTGAATCTGCCCATCTCTAACAAGCTGGGTTTGTGTCGAGTCACCCATCGCTGAGTGGGTGTGTTGTAAGACAGCAACAGTTGGTTCAACACTTTAGCGCAAGGATACCCAACCTACATTATCTCAGTGAGATGCCCGATGATTGATGTTAGGTTTATTTCTAGTCAGTCTCTACTGTCTTATCATTCCATGTTTATTTAGCATTTATCTTCCTTTTTCTGACCTGTTGGCTTCACTTTCCTTTATTTGTAATAACTCTCACTCCCATTACATTTGAGTAATCAACGCTTAAAAGCTCAATGTTTACTTCGCTGATGCCCTCAGTTCTCATTGTGTTCACAACCGCAAGACTGAGGTCGGTATACATACCTTTTATTATGTTCACTCATTTACTTATTCTAAATCTTCACTTAGTATTATTTCATTCTAGGTAGATATATCCAATTATAATTCTCATTGCATTCACAACCACGAGACTGAGTATTATTTCATTCTAGTCCGCGTTATTAGAAAGGAAAGATACAAGTAGAAATGCGTGGCATGTCCAGCAGCATGGTACCTGCATGGGGTGCCTGGCATTGGACGTGTCTGTGCTACAGATATAAGAAAAAGGAGTCATCCATATAAAGATAGAGGGGAAGCAAAGGAGGGAGAGAGAGAAAGAAAGAAGAGAGAGAGGGGAGCAGCACAGCATGCCCTGACAGATGCCTTTCTGGGATGGTGGTGGAATTTCCAGATGTTGCTAGGGACACTGCCACTGCCATCTTGTGCCAGTCATTGGAGCAAAGTGTTGTGTGCTGGTTTTTGGAGTAGTTGATTGGATATGGATATGAGCCTCTTAACCCCATTACATGTGACTGTTTATTTGTATTGAAAAGTGTATTGAATGCTTCAAAACTGTATTAAGCTCATTGATTGCAGATTCATATGGAGAATGTGACTTCTGAATTGTAATACAAAGGGTACTTGGTTGTTTTCTAACATTTTGCAGCATGCATCCAAGAGCAGAGACAGGGTATGAGTCAGCAATACAGCCTTAGTTTCAGCAGATTGAGAACTGAGTCAACCCAGGCTGTTACCAGTAACAGCCTTACACCCACTCAACTGCCAGTGTCCATCTGTGAAAACATCATGCCCTGTCAACCCCAGCATCATCCCAGCCCATCATGATGGGTTTGGACTTGTATCTAGTTGGCAATGCTCCTGTACTGAGACAGGGTAGGGAATGACAGATCTGACATGCAGATAAGTGAATGCATACCTCTCATGTAGTGCAAGAAGAGCTGCATCAACAATTGCATTTGCAGACACAATATTACCCTCCTTGCGTTGGACCTCAGCTTCCCTAAATGTTTCCTGAGCATGTTCAGCCAAACAAAGGGCCTGATCCCATTCATCACTCAGTCTCTTCCCACCCTCCTTCCTCCCCTTGTCTTCCTCTCGATTATAATATGCTTTCATGCCTGCAATATATGCACTCAGCATGATGTCAAAGATTGTCTCACACACACAGCGAAGCCGGAGAATAAAAGGAAGATAAGTTTCTGAAATGGGTAGCTGCATGCCATGCCGGAAGTCTGGTGGATCTCCTTGAAAGCGACCACATAGAAATGTTGGATCTGGCATCCTTTCAAACTTGAAAAATTCGAAGGACCAGCCATCGAAGAGAATGCAATGGATAGGTACCAACAAACCTGCCTCTCTGTTGATGAAATCACACGCTATACATCCAGCAGGTCAGAGCAGGAAGTGTAACCCTGAAATGATGAGACTTACCATCGCTTTCAGCTATTACCTGAGCAATAGCATTCAAATGTTCCGACCTACTTCCCACAATGCGCCTCATCTCAATGAACAGGATTACAACAGCACCAAAAGCTCTGTAGAAGTGCGCGATGCGACCCTGCGTACCAGGGATCATAGTCTCTGGGTCATTCCTCAGCGTGAAAGCGAATTGCTTAACAAGGAGGTTGAAAACCTGTTGGTTGTGTGAACTTCTGGGGCACATAGGAAAATCAACTTATCCATACCGGAGAGTAGAACCTTGATGTCGCCTCTTCCGTGTCATGCTCAACAGGGAGGCCATATTGCATTAACATGATATCCATGTCTATTACAATCGACTTGAAAAGATTTTTGGGAATACGAGAGCGCTGGATTTCAAAGGATCCAACATCTTTCAACATTTCCACAGGCTTAAGTCCGACGCGAGGAGCGACCTCCTCATATGTGGCCGTGGAGAAGCTAATTCCTACACCATGTTATATGTCAATTCGTTAGCGCACCAGATTCCAAGACGGAGAAGATAGGGACAGACGTGAGTCGTTGTTTTTTAATGGAACATCAAGATCGAACTGTTTACCGAGAGGGCGTACAATGACCATAGTGGCATCTGGTGTGTCAGGAGCAACAACGGTTGTGTGGGTCTCCGCAGTGTAACGTCGTTGCTTCTTGGATGCCATTGTAGTGGATGGTCGAACGAAGGTTCCAGGCCACTCAGAAACTTTGGCGCTATCACGTGTTTAGGGTTCATTCAATCATTAGCCCGACACCACCTCGAAAAACGTCTGGTGCCTAAGAGAACTCAACCAAATCCCTCCCACCCCTACCCCTAGCTATCGCACCACTTCCCACAATGGCCACGGCGGATCCAGGTGGTAAAGCGGGCCCCAGGCAACCAGCAAACCCAACTCGGCGAAGATCAGGACCTACCGAAACGCACTCCCACCGCAGGCCCACCAGCTGAGCCGGCAACACAGCCTCTGTCAGAGGACAGAGCGAAATTCCAGCACCAGGGAAACCCAACCTAGACCCAGAAGGCAACACGCATCCGAAGCGCATCCCACGGAAGCCAACCAGATCACGTACTGCCACCAAACTGGAACCCGTTCGAACAATTGGATGTAGCCAGCAGAGCAAACAGGCCAACTACCCCAGACACGGACTCGGCAAGTCCAATGAGGCCGAACCACCACTCTGCCCGGTGATGCAGCTTACTTAATAACTCCCCAGAGTGGAATGGACAACAGCCAAGTGCTCGACATGGAAAATGTCTCGAAAATGAGAGAAATTGATCCAAGACCAGTTCATGAATATACATTTATTATCATATTTAAATGGTCAATGCGCGGAGACAGTCTAAGTTATAAGTATACGGTACTGTAAGCTTATCGCTTACACTTCGCATCTGTACTTGTCGATTGTAATCGTAAAAATATTGAAGCTACGAACTAGCGGCGTATAATTAAGTGCTAGGAAAAATGTGTACAATGTTAATTAGGCTACTACATCCTAAGTGATGAAAGGCAACCTCACCTCAGTTCCAAAGACGTGAACTGAGGAGAAGAGGAAAGAAAAAAAATCGCGCGAGGTGGCTTGATGTAAGCCATCCTCGACTGCATTCATCAACATGGATGCCAAAAGCAATCCTTCATGGAAATGCCCATGCGCAAGAAGTATGGGTCCGACGGGACTCAATGGACGGTCCACAGCGTACCAAGAAACAAGAAATTTCAAAAAAAATACACGTGTACAAGATCGCAACAAACTTGCTTGAACCAGGCCAAGGTCACAGAGTATATATGAAGTCTCGGTGTCTGTCACCCAGCCTCAGCTTTTCTTCAATATCGTCGTCTGCGCCGTTACCGTGTAATCTGCGCTCCTCGGCCTTCCGCAAGTTCTTGTAATGAAAATAGCCGAGTGCCAGGCATACATCTACGATAAATGCTGCGTACGTGATCAGAGAATCGTTGTTAGCCCAAGTTGCTGGATAAGATCAAGCGAAACAGTTACGTCCTCACCAACAGTGCAGCTGATGTTGAGCTTCGTTGTTTTGTGGAACCGAGGGGCATCGTGGTACATCCACGTTCCTAATATCGCTCCAGAGCTGCTGCTGATGATTGCTGGAAACCCCAAATGCAGTGAGCACAATCCGAGAAGCATTAGGAACGTTGTGAACATTACCAAGTGCGAGAGCTGTGGCACGGCGGTAGTGAGGATAGAAATTACTGCAGGGAAGAAGTTCATGAACCTATCAAAAACCAAAATCGTCGACGATCTTACTTTGGGACCCACGTAACCGCACAAGGAAGGGTGATAGACAAGCCAATCACTTGGGCGAATACCGAGCCATACCTCACATGGACATTTGTGCTCTCTATGAAGGTTTCAAGTCACCGCCACGTTCACCTTGAGGCAGCAATGTGTACAAACGGTACATCATGATGAAACCTGCCAGAGTGATGAAGCTGGAGCCAATCGCAATTGGTCCCCTGCAACGATATTTGTCGCTAAAATATGCGGCCACCATGCTCACTGAATTAGACACTAAGTTCAAAATCCGAAACAATGCAAGGGATAACGCACAAATAAACCCGCAGGTGAATGGAGGGACTCCATAAAGCTGAGTTTTAGCGGGGGAGTAGCCTAGACTCCCCACTACGGCCGGGAGGCTAGTTTATCATCAGCCTAATCCTCTGGCGGTGGTTTACTGTATGACAATAATCTCACAAGTACGCTAATCCATAGAAAAGATAACCTGGAGAACACCTATGATAATGCAGTAGTGCAACATGGGAACACACATCCAACGTACCAATAATGAATCCGGCACTGGATAGGAATAGCATATGAGGTGCTGTGAGAGTCGACCACACGGTCGAGAACCGGAATACATCATCCATCGTGCTAAAAGCCGTGTCTTCTTGGATTGTACGAGTGTATGCGAATTTTTCTTCTTCCGTCATAAAGGTAGCACTCAAAATATCCTCTGGTAGCCAAAAGTAGGAGGCGACACCAAATACGACAGTAAAGATACCTTCCTGTATATAACAAACAGCTGAATTCAGGGACAGATCCCCTTGGTGCCTGGAGGACGAACTAAGAAGAAGATCCAGCTATATATGTTGCCAAGTTTCAGCATGGTTGAGCGAAAATGACAACGAACGTACCTCCAGCTGGGTTTGCCACCTTTTCCGTCAAGATGAACGATAGCGTAAGCCAAAAGTCCAGAAAATGCGCCCGCAAGGCTCGTAGCACTGAACAACGTAGCTATCCTTTTCTGCAACTCGTGGCGTTTGTAAAACTCCGACAGATATAAGACGAGCGCCGGAATCAGGGGCCCTGAAATGGAATGGAAGCAAATCATGGGCAGTAAGAACTTGAAAACAGGACATACCTTCGGTCAGCCCTAGGAATAGACGACAAACGATTAATCCACGGTAGGATGTGACGAAACCTTGTACAAGTGGAAGCCAAGATCAGGACTTGATTCCCTGTGGGGATTCCATTTGCAAACCTTGGAATGTCTCGACCAGGCCCCATGCGACAACAAGGGTAGGTATAAATATACGGGCTCCAATCCTCCTAAACAAAAAGTTGGAGAACGTCTCCACAAGTAGATAGGGTACTAGCGGTATTGAATTTTAGCGATTGTAATCATTGACCTTGCCTGAAGCCGACCCACCAAAGAAAACGCTCAGAACGACGGAAAATTGATACGAGGACATTTTGAGATCTTTCAAAAGCCCTGCCTTTGCAGCATTCCCTGATCGAGTGAGCAGTCGTCAGAATCAAACATTGGGACAAACACAGCACGTTTGGTCTCCACCTAGGTTTGTTTTATCCTTGAGCACAAGATGACAGATCGGAAAGCGTATTACGAGGTACGTGGAACTTAAGATTCAGCTCACGATAAAGTTCAGGAAGTCTGGCAAGGAAGTAGTTCAATGAAGGCTCATATTTTCTGTTGGATAGCTTACAGATGACAGTTGACGTCGTAAGGACAACAAGATCAATTTTGACACGAGCTCGTCGAGCTGCGGCTAGATCGACGCTGCCCTCCACCAGGTGGGCGCCATTGACACTTGCACCAGTGCTGTCACGATGCTTCTTGCCACTAAAGTCGGGCTCCTCTGCGCCGACATTTGCGACTCTTGGCTTGTCCATTGCAGCGCCTGAGTGGGGGTGAGAGAAGAGGTGGGGAGTTCAAAGGCTTTGCCTGAGACACGATAGTCCGTGAAGTATTGGAGACCCATAGTACTTAAAGGCTTTCATGAATGAACTTTCACACACTAGGTCATTTCCCCCGAACACTGGCAGAACAGGTATACAACGGATGATCTGTGGAACTACGTTGTAGTGATGATGAGGTTCTTGGGAAGACGCTATGCTAGGAGTTGTTCGAAGTGCATTCAACGACAATATTGACAATGCTGATCTACAGCATTAATCTCGCAGTTATACATTATTCCATTCTTCGGTTCTGCTGATGAGGAGCGTTAAGCGTCAGGATGAGACGATGAAAGGATACTCTTTCCGGCTAATTCCCAGAAGCACTCGGGCCCGGCACCAGAGTACCATCAAGGGTCCTTGTGATCCAAGCTGTAAGACGTTCAGAACTATTCACGCCCCCCCTCCCAGTGGGTTATAGGATGAGTTGTTCTACTACCCGCAAGCCATGAAGTCGCGAATATCATGGTCATATTGAGCGGCGTCCAGGATTGAAGTGACAAGCAAGATGCCTCAAGCAGAATTTACGGAAACAAGGGACACGAGAAATTATCGCCAAATCACTAGTTGGCGCAAGGACATACCCCCATTAGTGATGACGTGGAGTCCATCTCCCTTCCCAAGTATAGCCGTCAGGGGCGAGCTCCAAGGACTATTTGAGTCCGTGGGCGATACCAAGTCGGGTTCCATCGCCCCAACCACATCGACGCCATTTTTCAATGCATGCGAAAGCTACTGGTAATGCATTGAGATGGTCGGATAAAGCTGTAACACCGATTTCATATCGGAGGGACCGGGGACCGTCATTATTCGCACTCTGCCCAGTGCCGTGCCGGAAGAACAATGGAATGGCCAAAGCCCTGATGTGCTCGCTATTCGCGGTGGGTTCTCCGTGGCTTGATCCGAAGTATGCTTTTTCAGATCGCTAATGAATGGTTCCAACCGAGACCCTCGTGTCCGATTTCAGATTGGGGACCAGGAGTCACACCGCCCAATGGCTGAACGATTGAAGTCAAGCGGACCTGAAGGGCAACAACGCCTAAAGACATGCTGCAAGAGGGTACTGCAATAATGTCTCCAAGAACCTGACGAGAGCTGTTCTGTAGGAATAGGTCACGATGAGCCCGAGCATCAAAGTTAGGGTTCCAGGAAGAGAACGAGTCGTTATTTGTGGAAACGTAAGACGACCGCGGAAGTAGACCAGTGGAAGGTGTAGGCAAAGTGCAATATGTGGGTTCGTTCGGCGATGATCGGCGAAGCTAGCTGAGCGCTTTCTACACGGTAATATCAACACGGATAGAAAGGCGAGTATGTTCCACAAGAGAACCCATCTGATCGAGCGGGCATGCGTCATCAATTCCCAGTTGTTGAGCAGTCCCATTGTCCGGCGAGATCAAGATGAAGAGGCCGAGATCCCCAGGTCTATCCTGAACTCTCCGTCCAGGAGGAGGATCCCGAGCCCTAACCAATATGTTCTGCGCGAGGATATTCCTGGCGTCCGCAACGTGTCAAGCTGTTCTCCCAGTTCGCCAGTTATTGGCAGCTCAGCTGTACTTCCCTCAGATACATCAAGAATCTGCCCCAGAAGATGCGCGTGAGAAACGGACTGAAGCCTGACACAAGTGTAGCGGAGAAGGGACACTGAACCTGGCATTTTTAATCTACCCTGGGACTGGTGAGTACCGAGAAACTCGGCATAACTCACTATTTTCTCGAACTTCTTGGGCTGAAGTGCAGTTATCCCAGTTGTAGCTTGTGCCTCCATGAACCCACGCCTATTGACTTGCCATGCAGGAGGAAAAAACCTCCCTCGGAAGTTCATGACAAAAGACAACTGCCCGGGTGAGACTCGAACTCACAGCCTCCTGATGTCAGGACAGTAATCGTCAGACGCGGGGGACGATGTTCTTAATGAGTGCGGCATGTCGAAGTGCATATATAAGTCAGACTCCTACCCAGTCTTTTCCAATTTAACCGCAACTTCGTGCTACTTCTTATTTTACAAGACGACTGGCACAAGTTCCCTCACGTGATGTTCCCACGACCACCTTCAACTGGCAACGCTTTGTACACATGTGCTGTCGGTGGTATAGTGGTAACACCCGCCAATCTACTCTCTCGCTGGCGTTTGCCAATTGAGAGGACGTTGGTTTGACTCACCTGTTGGGAGGTTGCGGTTCTCCAAAGTCTCAAGTGTTGGAATATCAACGCTCATCGACAACAGCTGAGTGTCAGGGCTCGGTCCTCGATCAGGGACAGCCTGACCTCAGGCCTAGGTGTGTGCGGTGTTCCAGGTGGTTGGGCGCTAGACCCTGTCCTCAGCTCCTCAAACTCACTGAAGGGACTAAGCGGGGATTGAGTTGAAAAGAAGGGTAAGTTTCCCTATTCCCCGCTTGGCTACTATAAAAGGGAAGTGTACTGTACAGTTCATAACGTGACTCCGGGTAGAAGCCGAGCATGTTCCCGCGACTCGGAAAAGGTGTCACATGGGTTAAGGCAAGTTGCTTGCCTTGACCCACGTGATTTTTCCCGCGGGCTCACATGCGGGCTTAAGTTGTGAGAGATATGTAGGGATGGGGAGGTCAGGGAAGTGGGGGAAGTCTGGGAAGGTGGTTCTGGGGTGTGGTTGGGTGCCCTGACAGCAGGGTCAGGGGCCGATCCCTGACACTGAGCTGCAGCGTGGATTGGGGAGTTTTTATTTTAACTTAATATCATCGTGACTAACAATGACTATACCTTTTTGTTTCAGAGTCGCGGTACCATGCGCTCCCAATTTACTTTGTCTTATATTGCCAGTTGTCACTGGCAATCGCTTTAAGCGATATTGGCTCCAGTCGTATAAGTTATGCTGGACACCGTAATTTTTCTCCCTCCCTCAGTTCTCTATTTCGAGACTGAGGTGATACCATTTCTTTCCTATCTGTGTTTGCGCATAACTCATTGTATTTTCATGTTATAGTTACGCGTGATAGGTAAAAATCTTAATACTAGTTCTCTATTTCGAGACTGAGTTACGCGCGATAGCTCCTATTTCATTATCAAGAGGCATGTGTTTATGTGTCCGGCCAACAAGCTGAGGAGCCGGTCTCACGATCACTTGATCACCAACTTCTCCACTGCCGATTACAACGGAGTACAGAAAGGTTCACATCACCTGACTATCTAACCCATTCACTACCCCATAACAGCCTCTTCAAGTGACAAGGCCTGCATAGCCTTTGGTTGGGAGCAAACTTGGCGAACCTTTGCAGTGTGACTGGTTGGTTCTGGTTGGGTTATGTATATATTTGTCTGCATGTAGGTTTTGCACTCTTGTCCTTCTTTCGATCTCCATCATGTATATTGAAACGCAACAGCGAGGCAGTTTGCATGGTTATGATGTTGTTGTGAGTTTAGAACGATTCCCTGAAGAGGAGAATTAGTCATGTTTGCATAGGCATACAGGTTGTATGTGGTTCAAATCCTGAAATGTGATGAGAATGCCGATGTTTTTGCACTCGTACTCGTCAGCTGTCAGTGTCCATTTGTTTGAGTTTATATGGCATTTGTTCACTGTGTGATTGATAGACCATTCAGTGGGATGTGACTGCACTCTCAGAGTTTCTTAATCGAGGCAGTAATGGCACATACACAATGTTTGCAACTGAAGGCTTGTTTTCTGGTATTAGCATGGTTGCATGTGCTCGGTTTCGTACTCTCGATAACACAGTGTACAGTTGTCCATGTGCAAACACATTGTCATATCCATACAATCCCGACCTCCGCTCCGGGCTCCCGGAACTCCGAACCTGACTTCCAGAGTCCTACTTCCCTTCTGCCACCTTCTCCTTGCCGACTCCCAAGAGGTTATCCCACCTCCGGCTCCAACACCACCTTCGGTCCGACTCCGGAACATTCCGGGTCCGACCTCAACCTCGACACCTCCCAGACGAGCATGCAACACCTATGCTCCCAACTCCGGAATCCCGGTTGTGTCTCCGTCTCCGGAACCTCCGGTCTTAGCTCCGACCTTGGACTTTGACCCCACCTCCGCTTATACCCATTGTATTTGTTAGCTCATTCCATTTAATTACGTTTGCCAATATTCCGGAGTTTAACTTCCGAGTTCGGACTTTCCGGACTTACATCGGACCTTGCAACTATTGCATTGCTCCATTCAATTCCGCTATTCTCCCTCATTCCTATTTGGGCTGCTGCTTCCTTTCTATTCAGTCAGTCAGCCATTCCCCACTCCCATCCTCCTTCCTTCCTCCTTGGGCCTTGGCCCTTCACTCCTCCTTTGGGAAACACCATTGAGTCAAACCCTTGACCCTCGGTGTTGTTCCTCTTTCCAGCTCCCTTTGTCTCCTTTTGGAGTACCCTTGCTCCCTTTGATTCCGGACCTCTCCTTATATACAATGTACATAGTAACTTGTAACCTCAGTCTGAAATCGACTTGAATTCCCCCAAGAGACTTCCCCTCTGCTAGATCCGAAATTAGGGACCCCTAGGACAACCAGCAATGGCACAGTGCTCCACATGAGTTGCTGAGGCCAAGGTCCTTCCACACTAAGTCTCCGATTCCACTCCGGAGTCATCCGAATCCACCCGTTCTAACACACATCGTTTCTGCCGTCAATTACAATGTGATCAAATGTGAGGCCTTGACAGGAGTTGAAGGTAGTTGCATAAGTGAGTCTGAGCAGGAATTGCTTTCGACGTATGGTAAATTTCAGGAATGGAGGTCGAAAGTCAAAGATGATGCGTGGTATACAGTGAGTGGAGTGTGGATGCATGCCTGGTTGCAGCAATTTGATTTCCACATAGTGAGGGTGGAGGTTGGTAATCACTACACATTGATTTTTTGACCAGACCTTTGTGAACAGAGAGGTTGCACATGATGGAACACACTGCTCCAACTTTGAGGGGCAGGTCATGATTTGGAGCACTGTTAGATTCCATCAGTGCCAGGAGGTCTTCGGAAGTTTGGATGTAGTGACTTGAACTGTCACTGTCTTTATTTTCCACAATGGAGTCAAATGCGTGATAAACATCTGTTCAATAGAAGTCGAACTTTAGTTATTACAGATGTGAATAGGAAGGATGCATACATAATTCGGCTGGTAGTCTGCTCAACATTTCCAAATTGAAATGATTGACATCGAAGTTTAATGGGGTTAGGAAAGTTCATTTAACAGCCTTCACTGGATCAGGTAAGACTTCATCCGGTAAGAGCTCTTGACAGATTGAGTCCAGATTGGAGGTTCTGGAGAGGAAGCCATCTAGTACCACTCGGTTAAGGGAAGAGTCTTCACTGATACGATCGATAAAGTCAGCGAAATCGCGATCTTCAGCATTTCGAATTGGTGCAGTGAGTTGTAGGATGTGGAAGTGGTTCCACAGTTCAGATGAAAGTATAGATGCCATGTATGTTTCCATCGGATTGGCACCCTTGGTCACAGGAGCGACTTGTCGAAAATCCCCCACTCCAATCAGTATCTTTCCTCCCAATGGCACATTCAATCCTGTAATTTGATGTAGTAAAATGTTGATGGCTTTGAAGTTTGCCACATGTGCCATTGGTAATTCATCCCATATGATTGCTGAAGCATGTCGTAAATATGCAGCTCATGAGGAATTAGGAGTAATGCGGGATTTAATTGTCTTTGATTCATCGTCGTCCATGATAGGTAAGCCAAATAGAGAATTTGCTGTTCGGCATGATCTATGTCGCAAATGGATAAAGCAGTAGTGCCAGCCACGGCGAGAATTTGACTTTGACATCGTAGCCATGCTAAAGAATGAATAATGAAAGTTTTTCCTCAACCCGCTTTTCTGGTGATAAAGAAGAGATGTGGAGAGGTGTCATTGGGGGAATTGCTGTGAATGGCACAATACAGTGTTTGTCATATCCGTGCATACCCGACCCCGACCCGACTTCCGGACCTCCACCCTCTTCACCTCCGGAGTCATAACCTACCGCTGCCGTTCCGATACTCACCTTCGGTCCTGGCAACACACCTCCTCCTTACCTCTCACCACCCTCCTACTACTCCGCTCCCCCTTCACAACACCTCCACCCTCCCGTTATCCTCCTACGCTTCCCCCGTCCGCTCCGATACTCACCTTCGGACCTGACTACTCTCCTTTCCGCCACTCCTTCTCCCCTTACCTGTCCCCTCTCTCCTCCCTCCGTTACTCCTCCGCCACCCTTCCACCAAGTTACGACCTTCCACCGCTGTTCCGTACTTCGCACTCGGGCACCGCTCGTACCTTACTCCGAGCCTCCGTCATAGTCCCTACCTCGGACTTTGACTCCACCTCGGCCTTAGTCCATTGCATTGGTGACCTCATACTACGTAAACACCATTGCCAATATTCCTCGGACTTCCAACCCCGCCTCCGTAACCTCCGTAAGCTCCGCAACCCCCGAGCTTCGCGGACCGCCTTCGGCACTCTCGCCGCCTGTAATGTATTTCTTGCGTTTTCCCTTCATCCCTATTTGGACTACTGCTTCTTTCTATTCTAGCCAGTTAGTCATCATCCCCACTTCCCCTCATCCTCCTGCCCCTCTGGGCCTCGCCCTCTCTACCTCCTTTCGGACGTATCACAGGTCTTGCCCTATGACCTTTGGTACCGCTCCGCTCCCTCTACCCTTTGTTCCCGTTCGGACGTCTTCATTCCGATTCGGTCACCCTTTGTTCTCTTTGTGCTTTTGCCCCTTCCATTATATATATCGGCGCTTGTACATACTCGTTTTGGTTTTAGTCCGAAATCGACCTGAAATGCCCCCAAGAGACTTCCTGCTCACCTACTGTGAAATTAAGGACCAAATGGACAAACAGCAATGGCACAGCGCTCCGCTTGAGTCGCTGAGGCCAAGGTCCCTCCACGCTAAGTCTCCGATTCCACTCCGGAGTCGTCCGTTTCCGCCCATTCTAACAGTGTTGTCCAAATCCGACGTTGATCAGTCGTCATTGTATTGAAGGAGTGTTGTGCCAATTCGTACAGTCCAGCCGCATGAAGAGCAAAGTATTTGAGTTCTTCTTGTATTTCATTGTTAAACAAAATGATTGGAGGTAGTGAGTAATCTGACACAGATTTCCCATGTTCGAGTAGAATCTCATTGATTTTTTGCAATGCACGTTGATGGGCATATGGAGGGATGTGAACAGTTGAGTGTCCTGCCAAATCTTGCGACATCTCATTGCAATATTTTTCCCATAATGGCACAGCGTCACTCCCTTCCAAGATGAGCAGACAAAATAGAAATCGAAGTTCCGCAGGTGATTTGAGATCTGCAATTGCATCTTGCATTGCCAGAATTGTTTCTTCTTTTTCTTGGAATAGACCAGCCGCTTGTGCAGCACGTTGAAAGGTGGGATACACAACGTTGTGAATTGTGCGTAATTCCACAAAAGATCGAGCCAGGTGATGAAACAATAGAGTGCGAATGTAGAATATTTCCCCTTGACCTGGTCGTACGGTTTGAAGTCGACTGAGTTTTTGACGAGCACTACGCTTTTTGACGATCATGATAGGAATTTCAGGGATATGGCTTGATTCAAACCAATGATTTGGAGGAAGGGGATGTGGTGCTTTATTGGGTGAGATGAGTGTGTATTCCTCAAAGAAAGTGGTGTACAGCATGTGATCGTTCGGAACGGCATGCCTAGTGGACAAATGAAATAACGTAGAAGAGTTGATGCTTGTGAAGGTATGTGGTTGGAGTTGGAGCCAAGATGGTACTGAGGTCTATTATGACCGGGTTCATGGATTGTGAGTTTGGAGACGGATGGATGTTGGTACGATATTTTGAAAGCAAAAATCCTCCAGCATGCTTCACAGGTTGAGATGTATCGCACACTGAGGAAGTTGTTGATTGATTCATCAATGGTGTTACTTTCATTGGTTGAAATTGCGATGCGAGTGTGATCTGCACCTTTGAAAAGGTATTTGAAAATGTAAAGGAAGACATCCGCTGTAAAGATGGCTTCCACATTGATGTGGCCTTCCCACATTAATAGTAAGGGAGGACAGTAAGGCACAATCCATTGATCTGGTTCCCGTCATTGATAGTCAACACGAAGTTGAGCATTCAGTTTAGTGAATGGTATCGGAGGTTTGGGATAATTGTAGACGCAGTTTCCATTGCAGTTACAGCGAGAATATGTGGAGTTGAGATGGTTTGGATCATGAACCATATGTCTTAATACTAATTCTTGAAGATGCCCTGCTTGGTGTGGAATTTGGGCAGATATGATGTTGTCGATGTCAGAGAGACTTAAGTTTTGTTTTAGCTGGACAATTTGCTATCAGTATAGGTTAGAATACAATCCAGATGATTTTTGTACGAACCTTGAGAATGATGTGAGCGTGAGGTAGACCACGCTTTTGGAATTCAATGACATATACATGATAAGCCACTTCGAACAGTTTCTTGATTTCATACAATAGTTTTTGTAGTCAAACCTTTTTTACATTTTTAATACCAATTGTGTAGTTGAAACATTCAGCGGACCTTGAAAACTTGAGTTGTGATCTGAGGGACTTCAGTTGCTGAGAGGCCTTCTAGTTTTTCAATTAGCTCTGGCCAGTTGGGATTGCAAGTGGCGGTAATGAATAGATCTGGTTTACCCAGATGTCGAGCCAGACATAGTGTGTCAGCGACTCGATTGGCATAATATTGAGGAGAGCCAGTAAAGCTTTGAGGTAAGCAATGAGCAGAGGAGCGTTTTTGTTGAACAGGGTCAGTAGTGTCATATTCATCTTCGGAGTCCTCATTGTTCTCATTGTCAAATTGGTCTCTTTCTTTTTTTTTAGCACTGTGTAGGAAAAGTAGACATTCGTCAATTGTTCGAGAATACATATCGCATATCCATTCGCATCCCAATCTGCTCATCCATCGAAATTGAGGTTTGGATGAAAGGAGAAACTTGTAGTAATTGATTTGGGATGCTTCTTTTTGAACATCAGAACCCCACCCCAGTGTGCCATGGGGAAATAGAAGAGGATATTGGAGTGGTTCATAAAGAGGGTTTAAGATGTGGATCAAAGATGGAGTACTATCCACTGCGTGTTGAACATATATTGCACGTTCGGAGGCTTGTGGAGGTCAGCCTATGTGATACATAAAGTTGTGATAGAGAGCATAATATGGATTGTATTGTACAATGTCTGAACGGACGGCATTGTATATGTATAATGGAATATTGAAGTGTTGCCGTTGTTGATCCTGGTCAGTTTGGTCATATGGAAACCAGTAAGCAGCATGACCACTTCAATGTAGTGGAAGCGCTTGATGATACATTTGACCTTGTAATGCCAACCAATATACTCCGCCTGTATAGACACCATCAGTGATGATGGGACAATGCGAGAAAGTGAAGTACCAGTATAGTGACTCCAATGTTCCGAAACTCCCATAGCTGTGAGACAGAAGAGATTGTTCAGAGTGCGCGAGTGTTGTGCGAGAATGTGTTGAGAATGGGTATCATTGATGATAGCTTGAATGTGCGGCGATATGTCAGGTAGAGGGTCAAACGCTTTGGACCCTCTCTGACAACACCATGCAGGGGACTCGTCTTGTAATAGTAGAGTATGACACCATGGACAGGGTTCCTGATTCCAAGGAGTTGTAATGCAAACAATATGGCGATTTTTCCAAATTGGTCAGTTGGAATTGAAGGTAGTAGTGGAAGAGTTTGGTACAGCACGTATTGTTCTGTGACGGCGAGGCTGAATCGGTTGTGGGTGAAGAGAGGACATGATAGAAACAGATGCAATGAACAATTTCACCGGAGGTTTAATACATGCCAGAATCATATTGATATTCATAAACGATGACATACACTACATTTTTTTGGCTCTTTTGTGGGACTTGGACGATTCAGGAACGTCGTCTGTTATGGATTGGTCACATTCGAGAGGAGGAGGAGGAAGGGAGGAAGGGAACACATTCACAAAATCGAAAACATTTTCAGGTGGTGTAATAGAATTAGTTGGCAGATTGGGAGTTTCGGGAGGCTGTAAAGAAGGCTGGGCAAGAAAAGAAGGGACAGGAATGCTAGTGGATGTTATGGACGGATTGTCGACATGAACAGACTCATTACCTCCAGTGGAACTGGTGGAGGCTGTGCCAGTCATTTCGGATTGATCCATTGTGGGTCATCGGTTGAACAAACTCCTTTTTTTGGGAGTAGAGGAAAAAGAGGCGGATGGTGCAGCACGAAGATAACCAATGTCTTCTAAGTCCAAACGTAGGACATTGTTGTTGATGTCATGATAACGTGTGGACAGTTGAATAGCACTACCAACGGAAGGAATGCATATATTCTGCCAATGCGGAGTGGCAGGAATCAAAATGTGTACAGAGTATTGAACCATTTGATGAGAGTGAGAATTTTTCAGTAAAGTGACAGTGGAACATGAATCGAACTCACCAAGGGATCAAATGAACCAGTGGCCATTACAAAAGAATGATCGGCGATGGCAGTAGTCGTTCCGGTGACATTGAAAATGACGTTTGTCTCTGAGGAAGGTTGCATGGAATCGGCAGGATGTCCCATTATGAGCACTGTGCAGGTGGACAATGTAGACGATGCTTGGAGCTCATCGTTGATGTTTTGGGTGAGGATGTTAAAAACCCGGGTTGTGGGAGAGGGGGATAAATGCGTGAGTCCGAATGCAGGCGGGGCTCAACTAGAGGGGGGTCCGAGGGCTCCGGTAGTGAACTGAAGCTTCTCAGGGAGCCCGGTTCTGCTGGATGGTACAAGAGGCTCTAAGAAGGACGCGGCCTCAGCGACTCGGAGGGAGTGCTGTGCCTCCGTTACGTCTCAGTTAGTCCTTGTATTTCTTATGTCTGAGGTATCTTGTAGAACGGGAGCGGAATTCACTCAGAGGGACTTTGGGTGGCATTTTAGTCGAGATTAGAACTGAGGAACTACAGGTTCTAATCTATGGGTATTTGTAAAGGGGGACGGGGAGGACCTAGTCAAAGTCCGAACCAACAAATGGGAAAACACCGAAAAGTACTGTCAGGGATCAGCAATGACCTGGACCTATGCCGGCTGCGCGTATGCGTGTGGGAAGTATGCCGGTAATTCCCGTCTACTCCGCTTACCTAAGCCCGGTGACCCGGATCATCTCCGGCATTGTTCTGGAACATTCTATGGTCACGTGATTCTATCGGCAATCCGTTTGGTTTCCTTATTGCCGGACTCTACATGTATATAGCTGACCTAAGATGGGACATCCTTTCCCCGGCTTTAATCACAACTAGGTTATCGGAGCATCTTGCGCGAGCACGCGCGTCCCTGACAGTACCGAATGATACCGAGAGGCACCGAAAGGTATTATAATGGGGAACCGAGGTGTCAGGCCAAGGAGGGCGGAGTTGAAGGCCAGGAAATGAATGTGGAAGACAAATGGACAAAGGGGGTTAGCCGACTGAATGGAAGGAAGAAGGTAGTCGTGCTAAGAATAGAAGGTGACTAATAAGTGATAACGTGAGGGAGATCACTGAAGGATGCGGGTAGCTCCGGAAGCGGAGTTGTGTATCCGAAGGATGTTAGGTGACTCAAATAAATGAAATGGGTGGAGGAGAGGTTTAAGGGCATGTCACGGGATGTCGGAGCAAATCCGGGGTCTCCGAGTGTTCCGACTCGGGACCGAGGTTCCGGGATGGGAGTGGCCAAGGATCGGTGTGCCGCAACCAAACCGGAGCTGAGACAATCAGGAGGGAAGGTGACTTGGGGAGTGGGGGAGGCATGGTGTAGGGGATGGTGAAGTTGTTAGGAAGGTGTGGTGTGGTGGGAGTGTGCGGGGTCGGGATTCCGGGATATGACAGAGGAGATTGCCTCATATGAAAATGAGATCGCCCATATTTGGGCAATTTAACACTGCGTTGCCAATATAGACATCAAATGTGACTGGTAATGCTTCCCCCTCATCTGAACCTGACTCCAAAATGAGTGTTCAAAGTACCGGAATGGAAATTGATCTCACTGATAAGGAGTTCGCTGTAAAGTCGACCATTTTTCACCTCTGGGATTGTATTCACAAACGCATAGCCTGTAAAATTAGCGCGAGGTGTCAAAGCTTGAGCCATGGTTAAGAAGAGGGATGGGAGATGAAAATCAAACATATGACCCTTAAAAGAGAGGTTGTGGTGTAACCTGAGAGTTAGGTTACGGGTCCAATGATTCGGTGTTAAGAGAACACCGCTGCATGAGGAGGACCACCAATCAGTTGTTGGGTTGGGTAGGAGAGATGAACACTTTCGAAAGGGATCATGAATGGAGTGGATGTCATCCAAAAAATGCACAGACGGCGAGCCATTTCAAACTCACAGATAAGTGTTGGACACCGATGAAGATGGAAAGCTCTCTCACTATCAAAGCTCATGATCCTCCGAACATGACCAAAGTGGAACCAATCAGAGAGACGAAGACGGAACCGATCCAACTCAGGGTTAATGTCACGACCCGGCATTCCCCGGGGCCAGACGACCTCCTCCCTGACCTTCTCCCACGCCCGAACACTCCCCACACACTCCGCTCGCTGACCGTCGCCGTCTAACCACTTCCCGCCATCTCTCCACAACACCTCTCCTCTTTGTTGAACGACCTAGCGGCGCAGAGCGCCGCGACCCGTTGTTCCATGTTTCACCGCACCTTGTTATCTCGCGGCGAAGGTCATGCTTGACCTTCGCTGTCTTGAACACGTGCTCTTTGTTTGTTTTCCTGCTTCTTTTCTCTGCCCGCAATCTCCGCGAGATCTGGCGACTTATTCCCTATTCAGTTCCCTAGCGCTTATATACAGCTTGTAGCTAATGCTTGTACTGTAGTTCGAAATCAACTAGAATTACCCCCTAAAGCTTGCCTCTGTCCCCGTGAGACCTCCGACCTTCTGAAGTATCGGGACCGCATCGAGAATGAGGCGCAACACTCCTCCTAGAGTCGTTGAAGCCGAAATCCCGGCTCACTCGCCTAAGTAGCCTTGGCCTCGAGATCGGTGGGGTTTATCCCTCGCTAAAGCTCAGTCGTGTGTAGGACGCCTTTACCACTAGCGGGCAACGCTTGGTCGCCTACAGCTACCATCGGCGAAGATTCGCACGGTTCTGACAGTATTTCGAACTCCCTATCGCTCTTGACACCCTTACGATGTCACGACATACGACTCGCTCGCAGGTCAGGAACGCTGCGGCAGGACCTTCTACGACGCCTTATAGAGACTACAGCTCTAGTATGCCATTTGAAAGAGGTAGGACAGAGGAGAGACAATTTGAGAGTTTTACGGCGGGCGATGAGTACTACCCACGCTCCTCAACCCCGAGAAGGCGATGCCGAGACGCTAGCGAAAGCGACTCAGATGACGACTTCAAGGATGGTAATGAGGGCGAGGAAACAGCTCAGGCTCCACCACCGCCGGTGACTGAGAGAAGGACTTCAGGCGCTGCAGCTGAAGCAGCCGCTGCGGCTACCCAAGACAATGGTGAGGATGACATCGAGGAAATCAATCCCGAGGAAGTCGATCCGAAGGATAAAGTCAACTTCATGCTCACCAGGGCAATCTCGGAACTAACCCGCACTACCTGCAGCATCCGCCTGATCATCCCTACACCTCCGCCACCAGCACCACCTCCTCTGCCTCCACGCTGCGAACCCCCCCGTAAAAAAGTCCACGAACCCGACCAGTTCGACAGATCAGACCCTAAAAAACTCCGCACGTTCTTCGTTCAATGTGAAGTGAATTTCAAAACTCGAGCCTACGCCTTCCCTGACGAATCCGACAAGGTGTTGTATGCAGTGTCATACCTAAAAGGGCCGGCCCTCGACTTATTCGAGCCCGACCTCCTCCGCCGTCATCGCCTAGGTCGAGAACCACGTTGGATGAACGACTGGGAAAGGTTTGTGCACGAGTTAGAGCGCAACTTCGGCCCGCACGACCCTATCGGCGAGGCCGAAGAGTTGTTATTCAACCTCACGATGAAGGATGGGCAATGAGTTGGTAAATACGTGATTGAATTCAACCACTATGTGGGCAAATTGGATAATTTCGGTGAAGGGGCACTCCGTGCCATGTTCTATTGCGGATTACCGGATCGAATTAAGGACGAGATCACTTGTTTCAGTAAGCCCATGTCATTATATGACTTATGAGACCTAGCCGAAGATATCGACGGCTGCTACTGGGATCGTAAGGTTCAGACCGAGCGGCGCAACAAGCCCGTTCATGACGACAAATCGCCGCATATCCTCTCCTGCAAAACACCAACGCCCTTCCGACCCCCCACCTAACCCTAGTAACAAAATGCCAAAGGACAAGGAGTCCAACGGCAAACCAAAACCCGACCTCGCCGCAAAACTCGACAAAAATGGCAGGCTCACGAAGGAAGAGCGCCAACGCCGCTTCGATAACAAGCTTTGTATGTTCTGCGGAAAGGCCGGTCATGTAGCTAAGGATTGCTACAAGGCTGGCTCTAGCGCTTCCAAGGCTAGGGCAGCCAAGGTGGCAACGCCTGAACCGGAGTCAGACTCGTCGTCTGACCCAAAAAATTAGCCAGCAACCATCCGGACCACGCATGATCGGACGGTTGCGGTCAACCGGTTCGTGCGCAGAGGGAGGTACACTTGAACGTGTCCGCCCTCTCCAGCCCCAATTCTTTTCTGTCCCAGTTTCCTTTTGTTCCATTGACGGTCGATTTCCTAGTTCAAGGGGGAATGCCCCCGGCTCTCCTTTATTTTCCACTTCCGGGACTTCTGTCTCCCATTCGCATATGTTCTCTCCTGATGGTCTACTTTCCCCAGACAAATGTGATCCCTCCGTTGTTTTCTCCGCTCTCATAGATTCAGGTTCCTCTGACTGTTTTATTGATACAGAATTGATTAATAAAATAAAGATCCCGACCTATACCGTGACCCCTATGCAGCTCCGCTTATTCGACGGCATCACAAACAATGTGATAACCCGCGCCGTCGATCTCCCTGTCCGTTTTATTACCGGTGATGTTACCCCGATGACATTCTTTGTCACCCCATTGGATGGCTCTTGTGCTATCGTCCTTGGACATAACTGGCTCGCCCGATACAATCCGTTGATTGACTGGGTAAAGAGCAGTTTAACTTTCCAGACGTCTGAACAATCCAGTCCGATTCCCTAGAGCTCTCCTGAACCATCGCCGAATGCTGTTCCTCCAGCGGACACATCGGTTCCCGTATCCAAAGACACACCGAGTAATCCCGACCGCCAGGCTCCTTTGATCGAGTTAGTCAGCCCTGCGGCATTTGTCCGCGCTGCCCGACTAGAAGGTTCCGTAACCTTCAGCCTGAGCATCCTGTCCCAAGCGAGCGAGCTGCGCTCATCCACCTTGTCCGAGCCCGCCGACCTCGAAGCCGTACCGAAGGTCTATCATGAATTCGCCGATGTGTTTAGCAAAAGCAAGGCTAACACTCTGGCACCACATCGTGAGTTCGACCTGAAGATCGAGCTAGAGGAAGGTGCGCACCCCCCATTGGGAACCCTGTATTCCCTATCCCTGACCGAACTTGAGGCTCTTCGAGCATTC